TATGTAGTCCAGGTATTTCCGGAGCTGTCTGTGAAGACTTCCTCCTGAATAGAGGAGGGCAGGAGGGGGACCTTTACCTCACCTTCAGAGCGCCAAGCTGCACTGGGAGCCCGTCTCTCCTGGAGTTGTCCCTCGGAATACGGGAGACGTCAGGGAGGTTGACTCCATGTGGCAGGGAGACGTTGCAGAGATCCAGCAAGACGCGCACGCCTGCACCGTAGAGAGAGAGAGTTTTTACTCCCACATGCAGCGCTGCCCCTTGTGCTCTTTGTGGGGCTCAGAGGAGACGAAGGTGTTTCCACCTGACTGGGGTTGAAAAGAGAGCTGGCTGTTCACCGTCTGGCACAGGTGAAGACGAGGTGAAATACTGCTCATTCTAAACCAGGTCATTTCTTTTTCTCCTTAAACCAAAGATTTAACAATCCAAACAATGTCTGTGTTGGACAATCATCTTCCGTGTTGTGGGTGCATGCCGGTTGCGTCTCTTCCTGGGCGCAGGTGCCCCTGTGCCACCCCGCCACCCGCGCCTACCCGCTGTGCTGCAGTGGGCCAGGAGCTCCTGGAACTGGGCCTCGGTGCCCAGAGTCCGGTTGATGTGGGTGAGGTTGGAGACGGACCCCAGCTCCCCCCGGGGCAGCAGGCCCCCGATGAGCAGGGCGTTCACACCCAGAGACCGCAGGTAGGGCAGACCATCCTGGAGGCCTGCGGGCACAAGCACAGACAGGCACAGACTGTAGCCCAGAGCTGGCGGGCAGAGGCAGTGCCTCTCCTGGTGCAGGCGGCCGCGTTACCCTTGATGTCGCCCACTCCGTCCCGGTCCGAGTCAAGGAACAGGGCGGGCTGCAGCTGGCAGAACAGCGCCCCCTGCCACCAGGGCCGCCGCGGGGCGCGGGGCCACGGGCCCTGGGCGATGGTGGCGATGGCAGCACACAGCATGGCCAGCCAGCCCAGCCAGAAGAGCAGGACCAGCCGGGCCCGCCGGGCCCGCCACACCGGCCCCCCCGCCTCCCTCTCCAGCTCCGCCTGGCTCAGGGGCTCCCGGCGCGGCTCCGGCGCGGCCCCGAGGAGAGGGCACCCCTCCGACACCCCCGGGCTCCCACACACAGCGCCCCCCAGAGACGCGCTGCTGCAGCCAGGTGCACCATCCACAGGCAGGGTCATCCTGCGGGGCAAAACACAGTCAGGCCCCCAGGGCAAAACACAGTCAGGCCCCAGGGGCTGATCGCCACTCCAGCAGCGCAGCTCGCTCGGCTCTTCTCCCGGCGGCGCGACGGCAAGACGCTCCTTCCGCTCCGGGCGGCCGCGGCGCGACCAGCGAGCGTTGCGGTGCAACAGAGGCGCTTGTGTTGATGTACAGTAGGCGAGGGGCGACGTTGCTTGCCATGCGATGAATAAAGCAAATAGTTCAAGGTATCGATGCCTAACACTCTAATAACGCTGTTATATAGTACGACAAACTTCTAATATCAGTTATTAGACTTCGTGCGGTCCTTAACACTCATTATTCGGGAAGCTTAGCGCCACGTATCTATATCATTATACATCGTGTAGATGACGGCTGTAAGTTCCGACCCTTGCAAGCGAACAGTTTTGAATGCGCGCCGCCGCCTCTGCCGCGGGTTACCTGTGTCAGACCGCTCCTGGCGCGCGGTCCCGCGACTCCCGACCTCCTTTAATGCGGTCACACATCCCATATCGACCAATAACGTTCGTGTGGGCGTTTTTTTCCATTTGAATTCGCGTTTCCATTTAAGTACAAAAACCTCATTTGACATCAGGTACAAGCGCTGATGCCCTTACCAAGGAGTACGGTATTTCAGCGCGTCCCGCAGCGCGGTTTGAGCAGGTGGGAATTCGGCGCTCACACTGCTGCTGTAAAAACGGTCGATCACAATATTTCCACTTGTCGTTTTTAAGTCTGAATGAGTTTCCAGATTAAACAGTAACAGTTTCCTGTTAACTGACGCGGTATGTTTTACTTGACTGTATGTTTTTATTGGACACCCCTATGCTCGGGTAAGACCAGTGTTTCTTTGTGTTGCTGCTAACAGCCTGTTCTACCAACACAGCTTTCCGTAGCTCCTGCACCAGCCGACGAACGGCATTGCTTTAGGGACAATACCTTAGTTTACACCTTCTAGCCCTTTTAATGACCGTGCGACACCTGAGCGTGGTTACAGGTGCCCGATTCAGTCTCTCTCCTGGAAATCTGCGCGATACCGACGGCTCAGAGCGCCTGTTCCTGCCTTCGCTTGTATCGGTGCGGATGAGGAGCCCACAGTTCCTGTGGGTTCAAACTGGCTTCTCGGTGTAGTTCATGTGTTTGCTTGGCATTTCAGTCGTGTAAAGCATTCCCGCTACCAACACAGCACAAACTGTACCGCTACAAGTTGTCTTTACGTAAGACAGGGAGGGGAACTCGAAAGGGAGCCCACAAAAAGCCTTGAGCATCTTCCGTCCTGACGCGTTTCATAGAAATCATTTCAGTGGAAGAGAAGATTCAAGCGTCTCCGAATCGGATTTTCAGGGGTACGACACCGGAAACAAAAGGCGACTTTTTCAGTCTTCTAACTGCCTGAAAACCTTTCACACACTGAGGATCGGGTGTAAACTTACTCTGGTAAAATGGTTGGATCGGGAAGTTGCGCGATTATGTGAAAGAACGAAATGTAAAACTAATTAAATCTGTCTTCGGTGCTAAACGCGATGGGTTCGCCTCCATCAGTGATCAGGAATTCAGCTTAATTCAGTCTGTATTCACACCCTTACACACTGTGGAGGCAGTCAAATGGACAGAACAGTGATGGATGCAGTTCTTCACTTGGACAGTCAGTAATGCAACTCAATAAAATGAGCGGCAGAGCAGACAAACGCCACAGCTTTGAAAGTTTGATTAGGTGCAGAAGCTAGAAGAAAACAGGGCAGAGTCCCCTCTTTCTGGAGATGTGAGAGTGTGCACAGGTCTCGGTGTCGTCTGCCAGGCTTTCATCAGAACCGCAGAGCACTGCAAGCAGTTTCAGGTAATTACCTGAGCCACTAGGAAACAATGACATTTACCTTGGATTTCCTTGCTTCCTGTAGCTGGGTTTTCCTCTTGGTCCTTTCTGCTCTGGTGCTGGTCTCCTTCTCCCCCGCTCTTGCTGTTCCCAGCGCTGGTCCTCCCTCTGGCCTCAAAGTGGTGGCCGGTTGAATTTACACAGAGCTGCAACCTGCAGCCACACCCCTGTGATACATTCTGGAGCTGCTGTCTCCGTCCAGCACGAGCGCAGAGAGAGAGCCTGTGATAGTCCAGCTGGAGGTCTTGCTCTTGCTGGGGCCTGCAGCAGCTGCTCACACAGAGGCTCGGGTTATGGGAACTGCTCAAAAATAAACAGGGGTCAGCAGGCATTTACCCGCTGTCCTGAGATGTGGGAGCGGGGTGAGACGGGGGCAGGGTGAGACAGGAGTGGGTGCCACTTTCTTTACTGCTCGTAAGGGCCCTTACTCCAGTGTGGACTGCACCTGGCCAAGGGTTTAGATCTGAGTGACCAGGAGACTCTTCAAGACTTCAGTTCACTCTGGAGAAGACAAACGCACACTGGCGCAGTCCTTGGGCACGGACGATATTCTGATGAAGAAGTGTGTTTCTTTGGCCTTGTTTCTTTGAATTTACGAGTTTTTCTTCTTGCTGAATTCACTCACTTCCCTCCTATCCTGTAGTACTTGTTTCTGGTCCCACTTGTGTCACTTTCTAAAGCGCGTTAGACAGTTTACTGCCAGAATCCTGGGCTGAGGTGTGACCCCTTGTGAAATACTTCAGCTCTCAGAAGAAAGAGACACCGCAGTATGTTTGTGTTCATTTATTAAAAACAAAGCACAGCTCCCAAAGGAGAAACATTAACATTACAGTGTTTGGAAGACGTGTAATTCCCGGCATGTCTGTTATACAGATTAACCAATTAACAATCTCATTCATTTTCCAAATTCGATGTAATGTAAATTGCCTGTCCTTGCCGTACAACACAGTCGAACTTTCTACAGCATGTTGTACGATTTAGAGTATGTTATTGAATATTTACGTTTTTTTCCAGTTCCAAATGATAAGGCAGCAAAGTACATTCTAAGACAAAACCAAGTAACTGGTTGTGGACCTGCAGGCATGAAGGAAGGTCCTGTGTCTGTTGTCACTTGCGTCTAGTCATGTGAACAAGGGGTTAGGTCTTCAGATTCAACAAAGAAGAAACTGTTAGAAGCAACAGTTTGTTCCCTGTCAATAGCCTTGCTTCTTTGCAGATAAATATTTCTCAGAAGCTTAGAAAACCCTCCATTTTCAATGTCCCTGCAGACTCGGAGGCCTGTGGGCCTGTGTCAAGAGCCTCTCTCTCAGTGCAGAGTGACTGCGCCGCTGTGACCTGCTCTGTGTCAGATCACGCCCTCTGACCCTGTGTGGCTGTGGTATTCATTATTACAGGTTGGGAAGAGACACTAACATTGCTCAGCGCCCGATGTGAAGACTGGATATTGTGTTGCTATTTTCTATGCATCTAAAACATAAATGTGGAAAATTGCAACGCCTGGCTGCAGAGGGCCTGGGGTCTGCAATGAGCCATGCATGGTTAAACCCAATTTAATCATTTTGTTTTTGTGGCCTCACTAAGTACATTGCACCAGTCACAATGTTATTGAGACACATTTGCAGAGTCCCACAGCACTTGTAATTACTTGTCAGGTGCTCAAATCATCTCCATTCCTCCTAAGAAGAGAGAACCTCATTTTGAAACAGGCGTAAGCATTTTAGCCTGCTGATTACCCCAATCCTCTCCTCCTTTTTGCTTTGTTTAAATCTTCATGGAGGGTACAGGTAAAATCCATATTCCAGCTTTTCCTTTCCTTGTTTGTTTGCTTTTTGCTGTGACCACAGTAAGTTTTTAATTCCATTTATCTTTGCAAAGAGAGCAGAGTTTGAGGTCACTTCCTTGGAGATTTTTTCAGGCTTCAGACTTTGCTTTTCTGTGGGAACTGCCTGCTAATTGGAGTCCTCTGATCCGCTGTGGAACTGGA